ATGGTTGTACGGCAGTGCAGCATCAGTGCCAACACTGATGTTGCTGTCTTTGATGATGATGATGAATATATGATGAATGGGGTCAATCGCTGATACGGTTGGTGTGGTTGATAGATACTAGGTCAAACAAGTGCGCACGCGAATGCACGTGCAGATACGCGAGAAGCACTCGCACTTGGGAGCATGGATGGTAATACCGTCCACACCCTTAAGCGACATCATTTACTCCTGGTGAAGTGGTGTCAATGTTAGTGACGACATTAACAGGAACTAGCCTTACTTATGGAAACCTAGTGGAACAACTAACAGTCGTTTCACATGAGGAGCTCAAAAATCTCGGTCCCCAGAAAAAAGGCGCTTCGTTTGGTTACTTGACCAGTTTCGCTTGAAATGTTTGCAGGAAGTCCCATATACCAGCACTCAGTGGTTCAACAAGAATTTACTGTTAAATCCGTTTGGTTGCCAGTCTTGAAGGGTTTTCTTCTGGTAAACCCAGCAGGGAAAACTTTTACTTGCCACAGTTCATAATCTACTCTAGTGTTTCTAGTCCCTCACTGACATATTGTTTCTTTTCCAGGTGACGTATATAGTGACTTGTTTTGTGACTACAATTAGTCGCATCAGGCAGCCTAATGAAGTCGGTTGGATACAGCATCATCTACCCACATGGATGCAAGGAATTGTCCGAATCCCTGCGAATCACTGACCTGAGAAAGCGACTAAACGTAAGCTTACCTAACTACCAACTACCACCGATTTTACAAACAAATGTGATGTAGGATCTCAGTGCTGCCTTCGACAAACTTTTAGAAACTGGCGATTTTGGTGACAGTGATGGAGAGACCACGCGTTATGGTGACAGCTCAACCCAGCCAGCAAAGTTTGATTACTTGAAAGGGCTGTTGCTTCTTCTCACCTCACCGGCATACACTGAGCATCATGATCGAGATATTCAACTGCGAGTTTGTATCTGTATATGCAAGATGCTGAAAATCTTCTGTCCCCACAACCCCTTTTCTGGCATGTCGGATGAGAAGTCTCTTGTTAAGGTAGTTGCACCGTTTCGTTTACAGCCATCTTGTAGAATTTATTACAATTCCTATTGGATTGTATCCAACTGATGGCAGGTGTGCGAGACAAGGGCGATGTTATTTATTCGAAATTGCACACAATATTTTACGTAGGTCTTCCATGCTGTCATTGAGAGGTACGATATTCTCAGATATGTTGCCAGATTGATTTGTTTTTATGGTGCGCCACTGTCGAAGATGAAAGTCTGCTTCTTCAGTGCGTCAAAACTACGTTCGCCATTGTGAAGTAAGTGCACATCAATTGAATAACACACGTGTAAGAAATATTTCGGTCTGGGCATGGACAGAGCCGTCAATTATCCTACAGATGCTTTTAGATATGGTTGTGAAAGTTATCATGCATTCAGAAGGACTACTATCGCGCGATGTCATTGCTTTCATATTGCAATTTCTGATCGAACCCGTGAAAACTACACAGCCAGAGCAGCACACATTTGTGCGAGATTTGATTTTACGCACTTCATGTCACCTGGAGTACAATATACAAATGGTAAGCAGCTTTGACAGTTTCTCACCGTTTCTCGCACCACAGCTGCTACAGAAATCTTTGCTTGTTGGTACGGCTAACGGTGCCGTAAGAAAAGCCTCAGGTAGTGGGAATTCCCCGAGAGGTGATCTAGACGTCCATGAGTCTGAGTTTTTAAACGATACTGACCCGATTGGAGAACACATATACTCTATTATTTATGAGCTGCATACAATCCAGAACAGTATTGTTGCTCCCGTTTTACCTACTTTGGAACTCAAGCTCAAGTCGCCTTCAGAACGTGACCGGAAGCGTTCGTTCAGGTTGTTGGCCCGTTTGTTTTCCGAACCCGTATGTACTTGTTCTGTCATGGCCGCAAATTATTTTACTCGCATTTAGAACTCTCTACTACATGACAGTAATCCAGCCTTGTGGGATGCGTTTCTGGGACGTTTTAATGATATAAACGAGGATATACGAAAGCTCTGTGTCTATATGGTACCGCAAATGATACAGCAGAACCCAGACCTGCCGCGTGACCAGCTATTGAAGTGTATTCAACAGCGCGCCTACGATCAAAACGAAGGTAGGTGGTTACTTTACGTTTTGTTTTTAGTTAGCTGTCGCAACTGATCTACACATGGTTGCACTTTTGCCTGTCGTAATCTCATCTTTTATTATTCTCTTTAGAGGTGGGCAACGTAGACTCTCCGAAACTCAGATTTAGAATCCAATACCATTGAATTGAATATGTCGATAAATGCCGCCCATACCATATCAAAACGAATCATTCAGCAGCCACGGTTTCAGTGTAACGATTGCATGCATCTTGACGGACACACGAGGGCTGAGCTACTGACAGATAGCTCACTCCTAGATGGACGCCACCGGAAAAAGCGAGTAGATTAAACCCATGTATTTTCTCCATCCAGTTTTCCTCGAGCCCAGATAATCCCACAGATCACTGTTGCCTTTTAAAGTACAAGTCCACGTACGAGCTGGAGTGGTAAAAGCTTGCTTGACTTGCAAACAACCAGCTTGGCACGTATATGGGTCATGCCCAGTTATCGGCTCGTGACATGCCTTTTTCTATTGTGGCACAAGTCAAATAGTTTGTGCTAGATGGCCTGTCACGTCGAACCGCGCCGATGAACCCCAATCTCGCAGCAGGTGCTGCCACGTGTGGTCTGTTCTAAGCCGCACGTGCAACCGTCTGGACTCCCTGCACTGGGAATAAGACAGGGGGGTGAAAAGGCGGAAGCATCCCTAAAGCCACCGACGTACTCAACTGGTTGCCCCTAGCTCTGAAGTCAGGTGGACAACTGAGCATTTGAGATTCATGGTGCACGTAAAGGGTGGTCTATTGGTTCGCGCTTCGCACAAGTCGAACCCAAAGCACACATGGCAAACTAGTGCTGACAACCGTTCAGCTAGGTGTGTTCGACGATGGTCTCAGCTCCAGCACTGCTGTAGGATAAACAATCCGGAACGTCCGGAGACGAATAGGATGCACATTATCCAGCTTGGTCTATACACTGATGGTCACAGGTTACTTCTAGCACCATTGTAGGCTTGACGCTCTAAAATTTACACAGTATCAAGGCTGGTTTTGTTGGGAGGGCTGTACTCCCATAGGTTGAATTCATGATACATCCACGTGGCATTCTGTAGACAGCCATTATTGAACTTGATTGGACAAATGGGAATCAGCTCCTCGAACCATTCATGTGATGTACACCTGACTTTCTCGCTGGTGAACGGCTAGTTAACTGTTTAATTGAAAGTGACCGCTGGATGGGTGCCTGTACGGCGATGCGTTACCGCTTGAAGCAAAATTTCATGTTGGAGATAGCATACGCGAGAGGTATGAGAACGTGGTCACGATTTGTGTCTATAGTTCCGATGCCTCAGCGTCCGAGAACGCTTAACCTTGACGGCGATGCCCGCTTGAAGCAAAATTTCATGTTGGAGATAGCATACGCGAGAGGTATGAGAACGTGGTCACGATTTGTGTCTATAGTTCGTTCCCCTCAGCGTCCGAGAACGCTTAACCTTGGGTAATGATCTCGGTCGACACTTCCATATATATATATATATATATAGCAAGGCTCTGTACTTCCGACTGAGGCAGTGAGATCTTCGAGTGTACGCTAGGCTTCCAAATATTCAAAGCCTTTTGACCCTGGTTAATGTCCAGATGATTCAGCTGCGTGTGACTACATTTCAAGGAGCTGTTATGAGTTCACCTTTGTTACCTTAAAAGGCAGAAAAGTGCGGTGATCCGGTTCTTCCTAATGAGTCCGATCATTCACACTGACTTCCTCCGCGTTTTTTAAATTCAGATTGACAACCAACGTTGCATTTATAACATGTGTCTAAATTAGTGTTTTTTCTTCAAATAGTCCAATCAAATTGGGTCTATCCGTTTTACGCTTGTTCGGGTCTCTCAGGTTGAAATGGCCAAACTTGAAAGGCTTTTAGGTAAAAATTGGCAAATGGAAGATAATGTTCCCTTAGATTCAATTCAGTATGTTACTAAGTTTGCGATCAATGTTCATTTTGGTTGGTAAATTTACGGTGTCCCTGATGTTACCCAGTTAACCCACTCCTTTTTTTAATCATAGATGTTCGCTTGTTTGTGCTGCGAACAGTTTCCTCGCTGATTAACGAAGCTCCACTGGACATTGTTGCAAATGAACTTTGTCAGTTACTGATTGGGCGTTGTCGGGACAAGTCTTTATCCATCCGGAAAGAGGCTGCCACTTCTCTGGCCAACATGTACAAACGTCTGGTTCAGGAGCCACAACCTCTAGCAGATCGACTGTCTGCTGTGGCTAACGGCATCTTACATATGTACTACCATTCATCTGTTGATGATAAGTAAGTGGTACCAAGTTACTGAGCCCCTACGACCACCCGATAGTATATGAACCGGGAATATTCTCCTTACAATCTAGTATTGTATAGAACTCTATTTGCTTACATCCGTTTTGCGAATACTGATGAAATGTATCCATCGTTGAAGACAGGAATACTGTCAGTTGGGGCGGTCTTTGATCGGTTATTCGACTGACATGTGCCGGTTCTTTTAACCTCGTTCAGCTGTAGCATCCTTTCGGTGCCTAGCTGCCATGCCACACGAAAGAGACACGAGGGTTGGGATACTGCCAGGTTGCCCAAGCCTAGACGGGGGAAGTCGAGAGGCAGAGGTCGGGTTTAACCTCCTCCCCTCCCTCACCCACTCTTTTTATTTTCTCTTCACGGTAGGGCTTTTAATACAATTATATATATATATATATATATATATAACTAGACGAACTTTATGGTTGTACGGCAGTGAAGCATCAGTGCCAAAAGTGATGTTGCTGTCTTTGATGATGATGATGACTCCCTAGCCATTTCATCTACTGGGCCACTGCTCACGTGGCTTCTAGTTAAGACAGCTTATTGTAATGCCCCATGAGGGAATGAGGACATTGGCAGAAGTGAGTCAATATTCAAAGCCTTTTGACCCTGGTTAATGTCCAGATGATTCAGCTGCGTGTGACTACATTTCAAGGAGCTGTTATGAGTTCACCTTTGTTACCTTAAAAGGCAGAAAAGTGCGGTGATCCGGTTCTTCCTAATGAGTCCGATCATTCACACTGACTTCCTCCGCGTTTTTTAAATTCAGATTGACAACCAACGTTGCATTTATAACATGTGTCTAAATTAGTGTTTTTTCTTCAAATAGTCCAATCAAATTGGGTCTATCCGTTTTACGCTTGTTCGGGTCTCTCAGGTTGAAATGGCCAAACTTGAAAGGCTTTTAGGTAAAAATTGGCAAATGGAAGATAATGTTCCCTTAGATTCAATTCAGTATGTTACTAAGTTTGCGATCAATGTTCATTTTGGTTGGTAAATTTACGGTGTCCCTGATGTTACCCAGTTAACCCACTCCTTTTTTTAATCATAGATGTTCGCTTGTTTGTGCTGCGAACAGTTTCCTCGCTGATTAACGAAGCTCCACTGGACATTGTTGCAAATGAACTTTGTCAGTTACTGATTGGGCGTTGTCGGGACAAGTCTTTATCCATCCGGAAAGAGGCTGCCACTTCTCTGGCCAACATGTACAAACGTCTGGTTCAGGAGCCACAACCTCTAGCAGATCGACTGTCTGCTGTGGCTAACGGCATCTTACATATGTACTACCATTCATCTGTTGATGATAAGTAAGTGGTACCAAAGTTACTGAGCCCCTACGACCACCCGATAGTATATGAACCGGGAATATTCTCCTTACAATCTAGTATTGTATAGAACTCTATTTGCTTACATCCGTTTTGCGAATACTGATGAAATGTATCCATCGTTGAAGACAGGAATACTGTCAGTTGGGGCGGTCTTTGATCGGTTATTCGACTGACATGTGCCGGTTCTTTTAACCTCGTTCAGCTGTAGCATCCTTTCGGTGCCTAGCTGCCATGCCACACGAAAGAGACACGAGGGTTGGGATACTGCCAGGTTGCCCAAGCCTAGACGGGGGAAGTCGAGAGGCAGAGGTCGGGTTTAACCTCCTCCCCTCCCTCACCCACTCTTTTTATTTTCTCTTCACGGTAGGGCTTTTAATACAATTATATATATATATATATATATATAACTAGACGAACTTTATGGTTGTACGGCAGTGAAGCATCAGTGCCAAAAGTGATGTTGCTGTCTTTGATGATGATGATGATGATGATGATGATGATGGTCGGGTTCGAACCGTGGACCTTCCGGTCAGTGAATTCCCTCTGTAACCACTTGGTCCATCTCGCCCTCTTGTAGTCTATGGAAATGGTACAAACTCTGTTTGCAAATGCTTGCAAAACATTCTCGCGAACCTAATTATGCAGAGCAGTCTATTTAATACCTTTCCGAACGGTAAGAATGTACTCGCGTCCTTCAAGGACATGGTTTATCAATGCTGTGCACATTGAAGATTAATGCCTGAACTAGTTGGTATGCCATATTCAGCAAAATATTAGATGGCTAAACGCGGGACTGCCATCCGCACGTATCGATTACTTTGGGAACCGGCGCAACAGTCATACTCCAGCTAGTGGGTGGTGGAGTTAATCTGCAAACGAAGTGGGTATGAAGGCATTTAGTGACTTTGTGGATGTGGCCCGTCTTCAATTATGCTTGCTGCTCTTCTCAACTGTGCGGGACTAGGTACTTTTTGTTCGCATCAGGCTTGAACACCGATGTTAGTTGTCGACAGTATTGATGACGATGACATCAGCTTGCTGTACCGTAAAAGCACTGGACTCCAATTGGGGCTTATCGGCAACTCATGTCCCGGTCAGTATCGTCATTTGAATTCCGGATGTCTGACAGGCAAGTTGAGTGTGTTACCATTACTTGGCATACCACACCTGGATAATCGAAGTACAATGGCCAAATACGTTTGAACATTGAGCGATAAGCTTGTATTACCCGATATTTCTCGCGGTGATATGGTAATTATGTTTGCCGTTTCAATCGATAAACCTGTTTGTTTGGTCTTATTACCGAATAGCGTCACGCCCGCTTAAAACCTACCGGGTAATTTAGGTAATTCGAGGGTGGTCGCGGGAATTATCAAATATGTATTCTCCTTATCCTAGTTTGGACGGTCAGATTATCCTAGTTGGCAGATCCTTGAGAAGTACTTGGCCCTGAATTGGTCAGGTCTTTAAGTCTTCCCATTGCTACTGCAAACTATCTTCGTCAAACAGTGGGTGAAGGGTCTAGGCATATATGGATCTAAGTAGACTGTACCGCTACTAACTTATCGAGTTACATCTTCTTCGGTCTTTGTCACTTTCTTTGTAGGCGTCCGTATTTGGCCTGTTTGCCATTAGTCGCTAAGGTTTCCTTGAAGCTTTTTAGTGTCTTTAGGCCTTTTTTCTGGAGCGAAGCAAGAAAATAGTCTTTTTCAGTTTCATCTGTAGCTGTATCCGTAATATGGCGCTCAAATTACTTTGGAGCTATAAGCGACAAAAATTGCAACTGTCCTTATTTGAAAGAAGAGAGCTTGTGGTCAACGAAGGACGTTATCATCATGTTATTTTAACGGTTTGAGTATTGGTGCCAGCTCTTGACCGAGATATTCACTTCCCATATTCCCCAGCAGACCTTTCCTCATGTACAGCTACTCCAACTAGCTGAAGTCAGCGCGTGTCTGATCGCTACAGATTTAAGCTAAACAGGCTTCTCATACGGACGAAATTAACTAAGTCGATGTCCTGTGTACATTCTGAATGTACATGTCTGTACATTCTGGATGCAATGGAATAGCTTGCAAGCGTTGTCGTCATAGTTCATGAAACAGTGCTCGAAGTCACTACTGCACGTTTCAGTTCATTTTAGGTGGTTCCTATGTTAACAGTGTACTCGAGTCATGTCGTCCGGATGCATGGCTGGGTGACGAGGAGACTAACGGTTTTCTGGCACACGGAGTACAAACCCTAACTGTGCAGCCTGACCACCTGACCTATCCATAGATAGTTGCTTCTGAAAACCACCTGGCGTACCCAAGCAGCACTGATCCGTTAATCCCAGCGCTCCTGTGCAATGCTCTGGAGACATTGATGGCCAAAAACTGTGATGTTGTGCACGCGGTGGCCATGCCCCTGGTACACACAGTGTGAAAGATTGCACCACTGCAATGTATATTCTATCCTTGACAACCGAAATGTGTGCATATCGTCCCAACGAACGTCGGAAGTTGGCAACATTATCAACTAGGGAAATAACGTATTTTTCTGGTCCGTTTGGACTCACGCGGCGACTAGGTAAACGAGGTTACTCATCACATCAGTTGATTAATCTGCAAACATAGAGTTTGTGTTTGATCCTACCAGGTCTCTCAGCAAAGATTTACACCTTTCAGGCATGAAGTACTTGTCCGATCGTGCAGCTCAGTTATTTGAATAGTTTCTATTCCCAAGAGCTACAATCCTGGAAAAACCATATGGTCAACGTACTCAATGTCTGTGAATGAACGCTCCAGGAGTATTTCAATGATCGAGTGGTTAGAGGCAGACACAGAAAGCTCAAACAACATATCGGTTGTGGTTGAAGGGTACAACTGACAAAGATAGATTTGCCTGACACCCTCAGGCGTGCACACGTGACAGTCCATGGGGAAAGCATGTCGAAGAATCGTGTTCACATGTCTGTCACCAGAGCCGTCCTATCCCAACACGGTGACTCGGCTTAGTCCCATCTATTTTTACAACGACGATCCGTAGTCACAACTCAGTCTTATTCTCGGCGTTCTCCACTAGCCTTTGCTCCATCGTATTTAACAGTTCATCACCAGCTACAATGTTGTGTTTTCGAAGAAATATTGTGATTCATTCTCACCTCTTTAGTGGCTAAAGATGTCCGCCTTCAATAACGACTGCTAAACTGAGAAGTGAATTCATTCGAACAACTTTTCGTCAATTGATACTATACGCATTTAGACACTAGAAACTAGGGTGATATTGGGTAGTGGTTTTCAGGTCAGATAATTTTGCCGTTGACCACGTAGTTTACTCTAATGCGTGAGCAACTTTCGCACCAACACCATGAGTCCCTGGTGACTGCATCACTTTTTCCTCAAATACTTTTCCGGTATGTATCTCACTTTATATTTTATCGCAGTTTTTTATAACTGTTGACCGAGCCTTGCTTTTAAGGCTTCCATAATCATTGTTCTCTCGTAGTTTATTGGCATCCTTTCCTATGTGTAACTGCATTCATGTTCTTTTCATTTTCATCTCCCACTGGAACATTGTTTTTGTTAGGTTGCCAATTTTATTTACAACATCCGAAATGTTTTGCACGGGTGGAAGGAAGAAGGCCTTCGCTGGAAAATGCCAACTGAACAGTTACAGACTATTGAACAGGGAAGCAAAACTCTCACATGCATCTTGTTTACAAAAACTGAATATCCATCTTCTCTTTGAATGCGTCTTTCTGAACTTTCCTGGATATTCATTGACTGTTACTCAAGTCTAAGCAAATTCTACAAAGCGACTCCACAAATTCCGCAATAGATCGCACTTTTCAAGAGACGCAAAGTGGATCTACCAGAAAACATACTACTCACATGCCTCTCCCATCCGTAGTATCACTTACACGGGTATGCTGGCTTTTGCATTCGGAGTCGATACAGTGGATTCAGCTAGTTCGAGTCGGCCAGTTTAAGGTTTAATGAAGTTGTATCTAAATGGGTCTTCTTTAAACACTTTATCGTTCTAGTTGCTGATGATGCTGTCTTTGATGATGATGGTGATGATCCAGTGTGGTGGCTTTGTTTGGGTCAACTTTTCATAGTGAGTGCGTTGATAATGAATCTAGCTTGACGATTCTATTTTAGCACGCCAGTAACGAATGTTACTTCCCGCAGATTTTATTGGAAGCTTATATGGTCATCTTCCAAACGCATGTCATCTTGGACAAACTTCTCTTAGCGGTGTAGGGCGGAAGCTGAACGTGTTCCTCTTAATCGGTATACCACCTGATTCTTCCATTCACGCAGTTTTCGCTTCCAACACCTGTTTTTAGAATCATTGTTGAGCGACTATTCAAGAGCTCATTGGTACCCTATCACTTCAACACAAGTGACCGAGTTCGTGCACTGCTGACTTGCTATGGCCTCCTGGATGAAGCCTCTGTACGCGCAGTTCGGGAAATGTTCAGAATGCAGTACACGTGAGTTATTTCATTGCATGGGAGTTCTATCACATTTTGCCAGTCTGTCCCTACTGTTTATCTTGAATATCAGTTCACTTGATCCTCGAGCCAGCCACTGTACTATGTATTCACTCGAAGGTAATCATGAACGGAATGTTGATTCGAATCTCGCTTGAGTCTAATTGTGCACATGGGGTGGTTGATTCGTTCATCATATGTACCAGTGGTTTAACTAGTCAATATCTCTGAAATTTGAAGAGTATGCTCTGTGGAACAGCCCCAAGCAGCTAAAATTCGCAGAGGTCGATTCTACTCTATCTTCAATTCGATTCTTCTTCTAGTCTTTGCGCCTTGGAATTCGTATGCTATAGGTAGACTACTCTACCACTTTTCTCCCATGGGGCCTACTGTCCGCGTGCAAACATCACAAATTCTGACCAACTTTGGCCGGAGATTCGGGTCATTAAGGGATAGTGTTCTCGCGTGGGGTTTCAAACCGCGTACAGAGTGACTCAGGTGAGTCCCTGTGAAAGCAACGAGATCCCATAGTTCTCAACTTAACTCACTTACTCCTTCTCTCCCATCCTCCGCGAGCCTTTCTTGAATGCATTTGGAGTGGAAAACACGGGAATCCTTGGGCATGTGTGTTTACCGTCCAAATCACCTTAAACTGACAAGCGTCATCTGCTGCTCAAGGGATTCCAGTTTTTCCCTATTGATCGTTTGATTGTGTTAATTCTGCAGCTGCCCAAAGTCTACTATGTATCGCTGATAGCATGTTTTCAGATCATTGAGATCCGGAGGGACCCATCCTTACAGATCTGTTGTGACTGAGTGCAACCCCGTCGGCTTCAGCACCTCAATGAGGGGGGGGGATATTTGATCAACGAGAACTTAGCAGCCCCCGGAAAACACCCGTGAGCCAAACCATCAAGGATAAGAATAGAGTGACCATAAACAACACCTCGACCGCTGGGCTGAATACTTTGAATAGCAATTCTCCCGGTACCCACCGCCGGAAGGCCCGTGGTTCGAACCCGGCCTCTGTCTCTCGACTTCCCCTGTCTAGGCTTGGGCAACCTCACAGTATCCTAACCCTCGTGCTTCTTTCGGGCGGCATTACAGTTAGGCGCCGAAAGGGTGCTACAGCTGAACACGCCGCTACAGTTGAAGTAGAACCCTGGACGGTGAACCTGGAACCTTCTGCATTCTTGTAGGCTTGTGACTGCAAATGTTCTCTCGAACGACACTGAGCCCCTAATTCGGGTGATCTCTCACCCGCGTTGTTCAAAGATGGGGTGAACTCCTCATTCAGTGCTTCTCTGGTCCGTTTAGTTGAATTAGAGGAAAGGAACTGGTTTCAGACAACTGTGGAGAATCAGTGATTGTGGCTATTTAAACTATTGGCTCGTAGTGAGTGCGACAATCACAGAGGGATCAGCTCGTCTTTGTCCTTCGTCGCCTAATAGTGACCCTTGATGCACTGATTCGAGAGCAACAATCAAGATTTCCGTCTGGCAGAGGATACGTTGACCAAAGTTTCACACTTCTTAGGTTGTTAGGACAACGCTACACGTTTAAACGACCCACAATCTTAGTATTCCTTTATTTCCAAGGCGCAATCAAATCGTTTGACTGGTTGGTTCTCCGTAACGCAATCGTGCGGTAAGCAAAGTCCCGGATTTGTTGTAGTCAGTAAGTTCTTTGTATTCTCAAGATGCCGGGTGTATGAGAGTATACAGAGAGCTTCCAAAAAGCTTCTGTACACAAAGTGTTATCCGTCAGGAACACCCACTCTCTCCACTCTTATTTACTTTCGTGATCGAGTGGATAATCGGACAAACGCTGGAAGGTATCCGTCACGAAGAGACTGGACCTTACCGTGGTGTGACGGTTTGCGCACCTCAGCGATCCATTGAGCTATACTGGAGAGTGTCCCGCGACACCCACAGAGTCTCTCATACCAGGTTGGTCAATGGTTAGAGGTCTGACGAACACAGTCTTCTGGCCCTCCACGTTGGGGGCTGGAACATGTGGTGACTTGTTCCGTAGAAATGGTAATGTATTTGCATTTCCCGCCAAACACCGCTGCCTTGCGGTTAGGCTTTTGAGCCGAAGGCTTTGGTTGAGGATCCTAATCGTCCTCCTGTCTAGGTGTGGGCGCCCTGGCAGTATTCCAGCCCACGTACAACCATGAATTGCACAAATACGGCAGTGAAGCATCGGTGTTGAACACTGATGTCATGCTGTCGATGGTGATGATGATGATGATGATGATGATGATGATGATGATGATGATGATGATGATGATGATGATGATGATGATGATGATGATGAAAGGTATTCAAAACCATGGTGTTCAAATAGCTGCTGAAGAAAACCTAATCGATATGAAGTATGCAGACGACATTATTCTTGTTTTGGAGGAGAAGAAGCCGCATATCTTTTGAGATGTAATGACCCGAATTATCCTGTCCCTTAGCATGCACTTTTCACCCACAATCTGTAAGATCATGCTTCTGGACAAGCAGTCACTGAGCAGGTACTTACAGTCTTCGAAGTTGTGGGACGTTTTGCGTATCTTGCAAGTTGTTTTATTCCCGATTGTGGTGTGACAGTTGAGGCCAGTGAACGAATCTCCGAAGTTAGGGTCCCTTTACGCAGACCGAACCATCGTTAGCCGAAGAGAATGCTGTTTTACGTGCCCAACTCAGAGTGGTGGCTAGCATTTGACCTGACAGAAGGAAGTATGAAAGGGATTGCGAAAAGTTTGTGTTCTGTTTGTGCGGCTCACCTTACAAGTTAAGGAACGCATGATCCCCACTGCATCTGGCTTCATTCAATAGCTCTGGGTTTGTGATCGTCTGAGGAAAATATCATGATGTCTTCTATGTACTCCAGACCGACAGGATTCCCCACCAGTAGCGATTTGAACACGGGGTTTCGTGGAACCTTCTTTTTGTTTCGTCGATTGCCAGGTCGAATGATAACGGAGAGGGACACCACTTTTGTAGGATAGATTTCAAGGGACCCTGACACACTTCAGGATGTACGTGAATAAAAGAACCAAACTGAACTGAACGACTTCTGGAACGTTTCCTGTTTTGCAAGTCTGGTAAGAAGCACCGGTCGATCGATAGAATCGAGCGTCCCCGTGAAGTCAAGGGACACCATTTTTACACACGGTGCTGCTCCAACACCAAAAGAAGTGTGGGAATCGGGTTACGGCAATTTCCAGCCGATCGAGACCCACGTAATGCTCACGAATTAGGGTTTCCCGTACCGATTGAAATGATAAGTAGCCGGTGATTCCACAAACCCTGTTGCAATGGAGATTAACCTGATGCCTGAGGCTACCACGATCATTGCTAGCACCTACTTTGAAGATGGACTCTATTATCAACTCACTTCAATTGTCCTGAATAGTCTCTTTCTCCCCAATAGTTGAGGTGTATCAGGGTTGTGATCGGAGGAGATCTGTCGCCGGGCTTCCATCAAATCGAAGGTCGTATCCATATTCCAATGGTCGGAAGAGGTTGGCTCAGTTGTCGACATTGGAACTATCCTAAATGGAGCCAGCAAACAAATCCTGTGGGAACCAGTTGTGATACTTTCTTTGAATTTCTCGGCCACTGAACTCATTGGTTAGGGAGCTATGCGTTTTGCTTAAATTGGAAGGTTGCAGTGAAGAGTGGCATCGTACAAAGGTCCAATGGGAGTACACACAGGTGTGAAACATTCTGGGTGTGAAGGTGACCCTACTTCCAGTGAAAGGGAGAAGGTCTTCTCTGCGGAGTTATTTATTAGGAAATGCCAACTGACCGGTTACAGACCATTGAACAGGAAAGTAAAACTCTAATTTGCATCTTATTTACAAAAACTGGACATCCATCTTCTCCCGAACGCGTCTTCTTGAACTTTCCTGGAGATTCATTGACTCCACTGATTCGTCAGTTAAATCCAAGCAAATGTTACAAATCGGCTTCCCGAATTCCGCAACAGATCTCCGCTTTTCAAAAGATGCAAAGCGAAATTCTACGAACAACACATACTACTCGCGTGCTTCCCCATTAGTAGTATCACCGTTGTACCAGTATAGTTCGACGGTTTATTGGTGTACACAAACCGTCACACCCCGGCAAGATGCAGTCTTTTGCAGGTTGTAAGTCGAGAGTTGAATTACCCCATCTGTTCTTCGGTTTCATCATGTTCGATTTTCCTTGCACTCTGTCGAACTAGGACGTAGCTCTCTATTGTTAAGGTTTCTGCAAACTCCACTTCCATAATTTTGAATATTGTGGTGCAGTCAGCTGAGCAGTTCATTTTCAAATGTGTCTCGTAATTGATGCGAGTTTAGTTTTGGGTGCGATTCCCTTTACGCACTTTGGACAACGCTCTTAATTTTCAATATGGTCGTGTTTCCAGGGTGACGGTTCTTCTCAGGGAAATTCTACATCTGCTGTCCACACAAGACGGTAAGAAGATTTCTGTAGCGGGTGGTACGGATTTGATGGACCGTCTGATCGCGTTGACGAGTAAGTTGGGTCTCATGGGAAATCGAGATGATTCATCCCACGAATCATCCATTCTGGCTTCGTTAGTTAAGTTAAATAATGTTACTCCGTCTGCCGCAGTTTCTTAACCTGAAACATGTTTTTAGAACTTTGGTTATCACTGGTCATAGCATGTTATTGCCATTTTAACGCACACCTTTGTTTGATGTGCATTCAACATCAGTCGACCTTCTTTTATTTTGTTGACCATTTCGAGGTCCCGGCTACTCCAGCGCTAAGGTTATTTGAGGGAAGCTGTTTCCAGCTCACTATCTGATAAAAGTTCCTTCTCTGTACTGTCTGCATTGTGTCAAACATCTATTGAGTTGGACGGGTCTGGATAATCTTAACTTTTTCGTGTGAACTCAGGTGCCCGGCGTTCAGTAACTTGTCTTAAGTATCCTCGTTTCAAGAAATACACTCATCTGCAAATCAATTTGGTTTTCACGGGAGACTCAGTTGAATCTCTCGTTTATGATGTTCTCCAGCTGAATGTGCTGCACACAGGCCGCCTCATGATTCAGTTGGCCCGATATTCGAGATGTCGCAGTATATTTTCATAAAGGAAACTACTCACAAGGTTGCTGAAAACTCTTCGACAGCCCACGACCGGTTTCGCCCTTCTTGGGGCTCATCAGGTAGGCGCAGTCCCCGAGTTTCCGTCAACTTTATGATCTACTTGAACCCAAACTGCACTGTTTTCGGGGACTGCGCCTACGTGATGAGCCCCAAGAAGGGCGAAACCGGTCGTGGGCTGTCGAAGAGTTTCCAGCAACCTTGTGAGTAGTTTCCTTTATAAAAATATCCTCGTTTCACTTCAGGCAATCTGCAAGGGTCGTTTGAAGCCGCTACTTGGTCCCAACTCATTAAATCGGCTATATATATATATATATATATATAGTTTTTACGCTGTGCTTCGAAGTCCTACTTCGTCGCCACACATCCGGTGGCAATAGCCTGACAGCTGTGTTGTATTGTCCCCTACCATGCTGGGCATTTTAGCGCCACACTTACCATGGAGCGAAAGTCCACTGTGGCGTAATGTTTTGTCAAAGAGATTTATCATCTATTAGGATCATTATCACCGTCACCTACGAGATCGGGTATTTCAGATGGTAATTCCTAAGTTCGCGTTTAGCGTGTCTGTTATTATCATCTCCTAATGCTTACTGCGAGGCGAAACAAAGTGAGTACACAGCCGGGTCATTACATTTATCGAATGTGAGGCTCTCTATTCGTTTTTGTGTTGTTTCATCACTTCAGCGGGCATTTATTTGGTGTATCGCGTTATCCGCACTTTCTCGTTTGGCCTACATTTGATGCCTAACACGGCTCAGTTTTTGAAACAACAAGAAGATAAAAATAGCAAACTTGATGAAGGGAACAATTCTAGTTTAATGTTTGGAACCCTGTGTTCAACTGAATCGCCGGAGAACACCTAAATAACGGTTACTAGCTGTAAATTCTCATCAGCCCTGCCCCCGCTCCTGCATCAGTTTTCAAGTACCTAAAATATCAAACACCAGAGTTCTTCGACCCTGTGAAAACAATCCACCACTCTCTCCGTCCTTATTCCTCAGGCGGATCTCTCTGGATCCGATCACCTGATGTCTTGTTTGATGATGTACACGAATTCATTTTTTTCTCTGGATCAGCTCATGCATACAGAATCCTTAGGATTCTGACTACTTGTGGGTAATCGAGTAGACTCCGGGCCTACTGTTTGTTGATTCCTTGATCGTCGTATGGTGTGGGGAAAAGCTGTCCAACTACTCAGAATTAGTCACATCTCCAACGAACCTTGACAAATGGGCTAGTCCAAGTACGATTCATTCTCATTGCTTCATTCAGTGCTTCATTAAAATTATGTTAGCTCTTCCATTCTGAATAGGGGCATTTCCTCGAACTAACTATCCTCGTCGGGTTTTGGGGCTCCCATTTTGTCGTCGCTGGATACATTCTTGCTCCTTAAAATTGGTAACGTGCATTGCGTCCACAACTCTGGGTTACTTATCGCTTCTGCTGAAAGCGACGAACGATTACGAACAAGTAAACAATCTATGCAGAAAAGCCGAGAAGCTCTATACAGCTGCTTCATCTTTATTGGGAGCCATCGGCAGTGAATCATTTAGGTCATTCCAGTCAGCTTACTGTTGCTACCGCGATTTACACGATTTACCTGTTACATTTCATACAAGCAGCCTGTTGCTTAGTGCGCAACCGATTGTGAGTGGTGTGCTTTCGGTCTGACGCACCTGCTGCAACCACCAACCTTATTCGTCCTCGAATTCTCAATTTTCTGCCGCATGTCACCATCGTTTCTTTTATTTATTTTATTGCTGGATTCATAGACCAGGGAATCTCACTAATCGAACAGCCATTAGAACTCCAGCATATTCGTATTGAGCTATAGCTTTTAATTCGTCCCCTTTTCTTGATTTGTAAACTGGGGTCATGATTCCATCAACTCGTACAAATCTCGCAACTTCTTGTTCCGCCATGCAATGCAGACGTATTACCGAAAACAGATCACAAGACCGTCGAACAGCTGAAACGTTTCTTCAACAAAGCTCATTCAGACGAATCACTGCGTCTGCAGCTGGTCAAACTAACTAAGCCGACGTGCACGTGCTCTGAAGCGACCAACATCTTGGTGAGTCACGAGGGGGTGTGCGTAATTTGTTCTACTGCTGAGAATATCATGATTCATTTTTGACTGGCAAGCTGATTCAGCGCTGTATAATTCCAATCCTTCATGTCTCCCTCCAGCCAAAATACCTTCATTCGATTGCTTTCACTGGCAGCCGCTTTCCTCGTAAAATCCAGGCAACATTGATTGTTTTTACCTCAGTGAACAGGAATGAGATTGAGTACAACCAGAGTCTTTGAATGTCACTGTATCAAAACTTCGGCTGTGTGAAGTACTTATAGAATGTGTAAAATCACATTCAGTGCGAGCTCTCTTGTAAGGAGGCTGACTGGAATGATAACCTTCAGTGTTCACACCGAACTTCATACGACACATTCATTACCTGATTTCGACTAACTGACAGAAGGCATCTAATGCAGAGCGCTCACCATTTAGTTAGCAAATGCTCTGCATTGTTTATCCAGTCCGGAGGCTACACCGGATACGCTGTCCCTCTTCTCGAGAATACACTCGAAAAACGATGAACGGTTTCTGTGGAGGGAATGTTTTTAATGGTGGAGGTTGACAATGGAGAACCCATCGTGCGCCCTCTGCCACGGAGTGATGAAATGCTGACTTGTTTCCGAGTGTTTAATCAGCTTTGGATGGTCTGTGACGGAATTTTCCAACTGGTTTGTTGTGAACAGTAATACTTGCGTTATCATGAGAGTGAGGCGTTACACAGTGTGGAAATTTGTCCTCAGCTTCTGGCACTCTGTATCACAAATTTTTTGTGGCACAGTTCAATGGTAACAAAAACCACAACTAAGATCATTGGCCAAGGAAACTTATTTATGTAGCAACGAAAATAATGGCAGTTATTCGGAATTCACTGAATATAGGTCTACTCTGAGTTGCTGCATGCCGTATTTCATCTCCACAAGAAAAAACGTCTGCTGCGTCACTGTGATGACTGGTTAGCATATCTGAAGATTGGCGGGAGATCTGCTGTGTACTGGGTAAGTCGCCGTGTTTAATCACTAAAATAGTGTTCTGCACTGAGTGGAATTCACAGTACGACCGATCACATGATGCACGTTTCTTACGGGTGGCCGCATACATCACACACGTAATCGGTGCTCCAGGAATGCAGACAACTGGAACGTTCGTACTCGTGGGGCAGTCGTCCTCTGAGTGGGTTAAGACTTGGACTAGCTATCCAGCGAACAAAATTTGCTATGTTTGGTGTTCCGTTCCCTGAGTTTGGCAGTTTAGTTGCAGACTTTTCATCCCTCAAGGCGTTACCTAGTAAGAAGTGACTGGAGAATGGATTTTCGTTGATAGTGACGTAGTATACTAAAATGGCAATAGAAAATAGGCTTACAATCCCCGACAAATGTCGCCGATGGTATTCCCGTTCTCTTTTGAACCAAGGGGAGTACGTATGGCACGGATAGACGGTCCAAACTTGGAAGTGGTCTTCTTCAGAATAAAACTTTTGGATGAAATGACTGCGTATGCTGCACATTTTTCCACGCGTTTTCCAACAAATCCCACTGTACCCAAAATGCTGTCTACCACGTCTACGGCCACCACTGATCCATTTCTGGTTGTTTCTGTTCCTTGATATCTTTCCTGCTCCTGACAGCGGTATCTCATCAAGCACATTGATAATTCATCTTCATCTGTCACCGCCGGAGGAGCCGAGGCGCATGTTCAATATATCCGTTGCGTGAAGATCCTTCTCGAACGATTCGCTCCTGTCTTGTTTGACAAAACCTTTGGTCAGGAGCTTGTGTCACAGCTCGTAGTTAACCGTGAAACGGCAGCACAATCCAGCTCAGTGGGCCCATTGGATACCTTAAAAGCACTGATTCTTCTGCATTCCCTGTCAGTTTACTTCACAGTAAGTGCTAATACGACGCAACTTTCTTCACCTGCAAGATTAATTTTCAGTGTGGTGAACAGACTGTGTGGTTCTGCACCTAGTGTGATAGAGATTCTTCTGCCCTGTCAGTTTACTTCACAGTAAGTGCTAATACGACGCAACTTTCTTCACCTGCAAGATTAATTTTCAGTGTGGTGAACGAACAGTGTGGTTCTGCACCTAGTGTGATAGATGTATCTCGACCATTGGGGGTTTCATCTTCACTTTCTTTGTGGTGTTAATATTTAGACAGTTTCAATCAGCAGTTCACGTCTTTACATCAGATGAGTTTGCCACCCACCCCCAATACAGTGTGAGGAATATATATATATATATATATATATATATATATTTATTTACAAAAACGAATTCTCC